TTTTTTGGTTGTAGTTGTCATTGTTGTTTGGCAGGCTGGGGCTGAATTCGAACCCTCCAGCTCCAGTGTATGTGGCTGGCGCCCTAGCCGCTGAGTTATAGGCACTGAGCATACTCTCACACATTTTTAAAGAAAAATGTGTGGCACAATCAATTTCAGAATTACACCCATGTAAGTCTAATGGCCACACAGCAAAATCAGTGTTGTTATGCCATTATCATATGTTAAGAGCTGGAAATGGGAACATAGAATCGTGGAAATCGGTTATTATTTCTCACTTCCAAAATTTTTCCCCGTGAAAGACATTTTATGCTAACTCCAGCAAGATTTGTGTAAAATGTTTGTGATTTGTGGGTATACCGTGTCCGTTCTTTAATCTTTGGGATAAATGGTGCTGACCTGCTAGGATCCCAGCAGCCACTTACCTTCCACACAGAGGGCAGCTGTGATCATGATGCAGTCAGATGTCCTCCTAGCCTATGTCCCTTGTTTGCTAAAATAAACCAACTTAACAGCTCTTCAATAGAGAGGGCGCGGCAGTTTACCTGGCAGAACATACTCAGCTTAGCCAAGGGTAACAAAGGTACCGCCTTCAAACATCCAATAACAGGAACTTCTGTACAGGAGGGCGGGTGGCATTCTACTCCTTAAGGCATTCCAATTTAAGGTTCACAAAAAGGGCTTTTCCAGGCCATACATGGCTTTAGGGCTGCCCGTGACCTCTTTTCTCAGTCACCAGAACAGGGGCGAAGGAGGCAGAAAACAGTATTACTAAAACGACCAGTTTGGTGGCGCGCGATGGCTCCCACCTGTAATCCCACCACTCTGGGAGGCTGAGGCAGGTGGACTGCTTGAACTCAGGAGTTGGAGACCAGCCTGAGCCAGAGCAAGGGCTACTCCCACCCCCGTCTCTACTAAAAATAGAAAAAGTAGCCGGGCACTGTGGCAGGTGCCTGTAGTACTCGCAACTTGGGAGGTTCAGGCAAGGAGTTCACACGAGCCCAGGAGTTTGAGGTTGTTGTGAGCTGTGATGACGCCACGGCACTCTACCCAAGGCAACAAAGTAAGACTCTGCCTCAAACAACAACAACAACAACAACGAAAAACGATTGGGCTCAAAGGAGTAGGGCGCATGCCAGAGGTGGGAAGTTCAAATCCAGCCCCGGCCAGAAACTGCAAAAAAATAAAAAATAAAATAAATAAATAAATGGACAGGTCAACAGGATAATGAGTACAGAAGAGCCTTCCTCAGTGCTGAAAGCTGCCAACTTGTGAAGGGCAATATACAAACCCCTTACGTCTGTGTAGGTCTCCGCCAAGGTGACATCTCGAGAACTGCGTGTGGGTCAGCGTGTGGGTCAGTTATTAAAAGGTCTCCTGCAAAGCGCAGCACACCTGGGCGCTCAGAAGAGGAGGATCTGAGGAATGCTAGGCTGCCGAAGCTGGGGAGGGAGGGCGAGCAGGAGGCGGACCTCGGAGAGAGGCGGCCTCGCCGCGCGGGAGGAGGCGGCTCCGGGCTCGGGGCTCGGGGAGGGGGAGCCGGGAGGGAGCCGGCGGAGCCCCGC